ATATATATATATATATATTCGATATATATATATATTATATATATGATTTATACTGAAAACACATTTTAAAAATATTAAGCTTCATTTAAAAATAATAAAAGTACATAAATACTAGCTATAACTACTAATAATTTATAAAATATTGTGTAACACAAGAAAATATAGAGACAAAATCCATGGTTTTTTTTTGTGAAATCACAAACAGAAGTGCAAAATGAAGTATTTACAATAAAAACACAAAACATATAGGAATAATACCACCTTAGAGGTTTTAATTTTTACAGCAATGTTCTATTTCTCAGAGTTATAAGAGGCAGTTCTGTTTCCAACCATTAGATGGAGGCGCAGTTCTATCTAACAGCTCTTTAAGAATCAATTTAATATTTTCTGTTAAAATTGTATGTTTTTGCCTTTTTTCTTAGCTAAGCTAAAAAATGGGAGCAAATTGTGTCTTTGTGCCAAGCTGCTGACAAAGAGCCTAATGATCTGGTTTAAAACGGACTCTTTGCCAGATTTTCTGCTCCACGTCCTTACTGGTTCTCATCGGGACTCAAGTAGCTGAACAAACACTTCTCTGAAAATGCTCAGCTACTGGACTGAAACTGAGTGGAAAAGCAGCCAAAACACAAAGATAAACTTTTATAAGACCATTAGAAAACCCTAAAACTATTGATCAAGTCCACTTCTGTGGACGTGCACAACCATGAGTGGAACTTTAAAGGTCCAGAACCCAGTTTTGGTCACAGAATCCATAATCCTTGGCTGATTGTTTATCTTCAGCAGCAGCAAAAGCAACAAAAGTTTTTGAGAGTTTAAAACTAGAACGTTGTCTGAGTTTCGTCTTAATACTTTCAGCGCTTGCTGCTGAAAGGTAAAGAAGTCTTTGAACGTTGCCTGTCCATCACGCTTTACTCGAATTCAGATCTCACCGGGCCATCGTCTCACACCGTGAGCATCCTCATAATCCTCAAACAACTCCTCAAATCTCCTCCTGAGCCCTCGGCTCCCCTTCAAACGTCCCGATCATCTGGTTTCTTAATAGAGCTCAGAGATAGCAGAGATCTCTTCATGTGAAGTTGGAGGCCTCACAGATTACTTTTCTCCTCCTTAAATGTTGCTTTCCATGTCTTCAATTTTTTTTTTTTTTTCTTTTTCAATTTTTATGGATTTTGTTTACATCACTTCTCCACCTGGTGAAACTTTAACAAAGTGGCAGGAACAAATAGGCATGTCCAAATAAATGTGGAAAAACATGTTGATTATGAGGCTAAATGACTTAAGATGACAAAACATGTTCACTTTAGGAACTGAAAAACTAGCAGCAGATGAAAAGTCATCACCTCAGTTAAAAACTGAGGCCTCATGGGTCATTTTGACCCAAGGGCAGAAGGGTAGAATAAAAAAAATATCGTTTTGTTTAATTTATCAACCAAAACGTCAAAGATTTCCTGTTATTACTCTTTTAAGCCAGTAGAAGGCAGAATATCTATATCTATCTTCATTAAATGAGTTAAATGATGCCTTCCTTTTTTGGTCAAACATTATGGATCTAGAGCAGACCTGACCCTTGGATAATATCCATCAGGCACCCAAAATCCTTAGTTAAAAAAAAAAAAAGATGCATTAAAAAAACAGTAGATTATTATAACGGAGCTTTAGGGTCAGGCTAAGAAAATAAATTACATTACTAACTAGAATAAAGTCATAATATTGCGAGAATAAAGTTGTACGAAAATAAAGTCATACTATTATGAGAATAAAATTGTAGTATTACGAGAGTAAAGTCGTAGTATAACGACAATAAAGTTGTAGTATTACAAAAATAAAGTCATAATATTGCGAGAATAAAGTCGTATGACAATAAAGTCATAATATTACGAGAATAAAGCTGTAGTACTATAAGAATAAAGTTGTAATATTAGGATAATAAAGTTGTACAACAATAAAGTCATAATATTATGAAAATAAAGTCAAAATATTACACAAATAAAGTTGTAATGTTAGGAGAATAAAGTCGTATGACAATATAAAGTCATATTATTATGAGAATAAAGTCATAATATTACGACAATAAAGTTGTGGTATTACGACAATGAAGTCATATTATTACAAGAATAAAGTCGTACGACAATAAAGTCATAATATTACAAGAAAAAAATCATGTTATTACGAGAATAAAGTTGTAATATTAGGAGAATAAAGTCGTACGACAATAAAGTCATAATATTACAACAATAAAGTCAAAATATTATGAAAATAAAGTTGTGGTATTATGACAATAAAATCATAATATTACAAAAATAAAGTCGTATGACAATAAAGTCATAATATTACGACAATAAAGTCAAAATATTACGAAAATAAAGTTGTGGTATTACGACCATAAAGTCGTAATATTACAAGAATAAAGTCATACGACAATAAAGTCATAATTTACGAGATTTTTTTTTCATTTATCCTTTATCTATACAGGTAGTCTCATTGAGCCACGAGAACTCATTTTCAAGAGAGACCTGTTTAGGGAGCAGATGGGGGGTTAAGGGCCATGCTCATGGGCCCAGGGTGGGGCGAATGAGGATGGGGGCAAGTGTGGGTGCTTCACCTACCCCACACACAATTTTGATGTTGTAGGGCCGTGGCGTGAACCGGCAATCTTCGGATCACAGGCCCACCTCTCTAACCTCTGCGCCACCACTCCCCAATATAAATAGAATAAAGTAAATAAA